CGGTGAGAACCCGGCGTGCTCCGTCCCGGCTTTGTAGGGATGCGAGGTCAATGGTCTAACGACTACGGCATGCACGACTACGAGTACATCCCCCTCCCCCGTTTACGTATTTGCATTTTTCCCCTGGTTATACCGAGATCAGTGCGCCACTAAGGAAGACTGGGAAGACTGGATCCACCGCGTGCCGGTAGAGCTCCTCAGGGAGAACCCCAGCCCGGCTCTAAGGGCTTGTGCTGCCCTTGCACAGGTGAGGCGGACAGACAGAAGAGTGGGCTGGCAGTACAAGCGGTAGGTGCTTTGGAACGGTTCGTTCGCTGCCCGCGGACTGGTAGGTTGTATGTATGTACTTTGTTGTGTTGTTTCTTCTTTTTTTTTTTGCTGAGGTTTCCTGAGACGTGTTGCTTTTTTCTGTAGCAGCATTTTTCGCCGTTCAGGTTGAAACAAGGGGGAGGGGGCGGGAGAGTGGGGGGGGTATGCGGGCGGTGTTATACCTGACCAGATTGGCAAGGCCTCTCTGCTTCGGCATGAGGTACAGCAGTATGTGCCCCCCGCCGAATTCAATGCCACTGCTGCTGGGCCGGGCAACACGACACTGTTCAGAATCAAACACTAATATTTTGAGATTTGTGTTTCATCCGTGTCGGCGCGATTTGTTCACCGGAACCTCACCGGGCTGTAGCACTACTGAAAGGCCCTACCTGACAGGTATCATACCATGTTTTTTTTGTGTGTGTTTTCTCTAGCGGAAACCCCGTTTTTGTTTTCGAACATAATATCCGCCAACACGAATGGTACAGAAACTGACGTCCATATTGAATGAGAGGACAAAACGTTTGTTTTGTGCGGCTTGTTTTTTTCGCTCGCTGTTTTTTTTTATTCTCGTGACTTGATGAACAGGCGTACCGGCCGCTATCCATCGCGCTTTTCCACGCCGCCTTTGTTGGCTGCTGGCTTGAGCTATCCGAGGATGCACAGGTACGGGTAAAACCTAAATCCCAAGCAGGGCATGTTACACACCAGCCAATATGTTTACTTCACATTTCTATATCCTTAGACGTAACATCTCGATTCGGGACAAAGGAAAAAATGTGGAAATTTGAGAACGACCGACAGCGAGTTAGGAGGGGGTCACAGTAAAAAGAGATTGGATTTATGGAGAGTCGGAAATTGGAAGAAAACTAGCAAAGTTGCTGTAAACAGAAGTACAGACCCGTTGTGTTTGCACACGTGGTATACAATATGCTGCAACAAAAATGTATGTTTGGTTTTCTATGTCCAGGCCTATCCAAGTGAAACACACATGCACCGGAGTCCTACCGTAGATCAAGGGGTTTTGACATTCTTTTTGATTTTTGGGGGAAGACGTGGATGTGCCGTAAGACTTAACAGGTTTTCATTTTTTCCCTTGTGTTCGGTGAGGTTCGCTGGGCTTTTGGAGTCAAAAACACGCCCACTAGAGCTGTCTTGGAGCTTGGGAAACGTCACTGATGGCAACTGGCAGCTGATTTACGCCAAGGCGTCCTGTATTGTCATCTTGCATCACAACTACTAGTACTTCTGAGAAGCCTTCTCAGGAGGCGTGCCTTGTACTACCTAAACACAGTCAGCGGTGCAGCATTACGCCTCGGATGCAAGGAAATGAGGTTTGCTCACTGTGTGAAGAGAGGGTAGTCAATGTGAGAGCAAGACTAAGCCGAAAAGAAAAGAGAAGCGAAGCATGTTGGGTATGTTGTCTTCACATTATATGGTGTACCAATGTATTGCCACGTTGCCCGACCAAACCACAAACTTTTTTTTTTCCTTCCGTATTTTTGCGTTGGTTCTTCCCAGTCGCACCTGGTGCGCTCGCTGAAGCAGGTGATGAGAAACAAGAATGTGCCTCCGGACATCCTGCAGACGCTGCTCAACCTCGCCGAGTTCATGGACCACGAAGTAGAGGTGGGTGCATGAGGTACACCAATAGTACCGCCGTTCACGGTGGAAGGCACGTAATTTTTGGCGAAGAGGTACAGTAAGTGGCGAAGTAGCGACGGCCACCGCTCACGGTGAAGGCACCCATTTCAGACAAGAACAGGGATACACGAAGCAGCTGACAAGCAGCAGAGGTAGGTAGGGAGAGTTGATGGCGCCGGCCACCATATAGGTCGACGGACGTGAAGTTCGACAGTAGGAGGTACACCAAGTAGTAGCGCCGGCTACCATGTATTACATTGGGGATGGGAAACACGAGGGGAACAGGTAGCGCCGGCCACCATATTTTGGAGGTACGTGGAGAAGCATAGGTACAGCCAGGACCGGGGTACCGCGAAGCGAAGATGGGGTTTGTCGCACAAGAACAGGTGCATTTCGTAGGCCATCATCGAATTCCACACACCCCTGGACTGATTTCCAAAGGTCGATCTGTCCACGGCAGAAACTAGCGTCTCCGGAACCGTCTTGTCGATAGGAACGCATCGCCTGAGTTGTAAATACATCCTGTTCGTCGTGAAGTAGCGGAGCTGTGAAAATCAACCCAGGGGTGGTGATGTCATACGTCACGTAGGGTACACCCGTGTGTTCTTATCCAATCGAGACACTTCGCTCCGAAGGTACTCGCATCTCTCGCCCCCCTAAGCGCCCTATTAAAGTCTAGACGCATGACAGGGTGGAGCACTGCCAGTCGACATCAGGGTTGCTGTTTAGCCACATCTCTCTTGCTCCCCTAACCCCTCTCGTCTGAACGCGCGACAGGGTGAAGCACTGCCCATCGACATCAGTGCTGTCTGACCTCATCTCCCTCGCACCCCTAACCCCTATCGTCTGAACGCGCGACAGGGTGAAGCACTGCCCATCGACATCAGGTTGCTGGCTCACCTCGCGGAACGATGCCACGCCTACGCTAAAGCTCTCCACTATAAGGTGAGGTCCTGAAGTGCGGTCACTCTCCCGATGTAAGGCGGTCACTCTCCCAACATGCGGCAGTGACGTTCGCGACATGAAGCGATGCAGGTCCCGATACAGAGAGAAGTGACGGTTCCGATGTTGAGCGGTCGCGGTCCGACACCAAGCGATGGAGATCCCGATATATTGTTGTCCGGACAAAAAGCGATGGAAGATTCCGATTTGTGTGTGTTGCTTGTGTTTTGTTATTTTTAATGGTCGGTGTCGGGGGCGGCTTGATTCAGAGCGGGCACTGTCCAAACTATTAAGCGATGAAGGTCCCGATATAGAGCGGTCACTGTCCCGACATTTAGGGCTGGGAGTCCCTAACAAGCTCCGCGTTTCAATCGAAGAAGCGGTAGATACAAATTTCTCTTCTTGTGGCTTACACTGCTGCCGTATTTCCCTCAATGTCCCGTGCCTTTTGTGAACACCTCGACTCCCAAAGATTCCAAAGATTCCTGTGCCTTCGAACACCTCGACTCCCAAAGATCCATTCCCTATGCCTTTCTGTTGAATACCTCGACTCCCAAATATTCATTCTTACCCTGTGCCTTCTTTTCCCAAAGATTCGTATCCTGTGCCTTGTGCTGAAAACCTCGACTCCCAGAGGTTCTTTCTCTGTGCCTTTTGCTGGATACCTCGACTCTGAAAGGTTCATATCCTATGCATGCTTATGAATCCCTCAATCTCATACTGACGTTCGTCTGCTGTGCCTTCGTCTGAGTGCCCTTGTTTCCATCATACGTTTCATGTGCCTGCAGTAATGCTGAATGCCTCAACTTTCCCTATGATTTGTGCTGATCACCTCGAATCAGGAGCTGGAGTTCGCTACGAACGCGGCAAGTTGCATCGAGTCCCTGATAGCGATCAACAAGAAGGTTGGGCAACCAGAGGCTGCCAAGGGCATCCTCACCTACGCCCAGAACAAGCTGGGGAGTCAGGTGTCGGTCAGGGACGACTGGCTCGCCAAGCTTGGAAGCTGGGATGTGAGCGCCCAAGTGGTTGATGTTGTTGTTGTTGTTGTTGTTGTTGGTACTGTTGGTACTGTTGGTACTGTTGGTACTGTTGGTACTGTTGGTGTGGGCGGTTTTGTGTTCACATTAAGCACCGGTCTTTGCGGAGTTTGGCCAGCCAGTCGTCCCTGCCCTAAACCTCGCTGCCCAGCTTGTTCTTGGCGTAGGTGAGGTTGCCTGTCGCTGCATCCCGCTGCCCGACCTTCTCGTTGATAACCACCAGGGGCTGCATGAACAAGTGACTTGTTGGTGTTGGTGGGGCTGGGGGTGCTGCTTTGTTGTTGTTGTCTTAATGTCTTAATATTAATAACCGTTCCGGTCTCTGCTCACACAAGATACCTACTGATATCCTTAATACCGGTCCGCGTGACGCGGATCCCTTCCGTAGTCACAAATCAAGTACTAAAAAAGGGTACACACACTTGGAAGAAGCGACAAGAAAAAATAGAAAAACAGGAGACAAACCTCAGACGGTCATCGTGGACGCTTTTATTCTTGTAGAGAACAAATGTAGAACATTTTAGGAAACATGAATACGGACACACACAGGAAGACTACCCGTTTGAGATATGACCACAGTCGAACTGGATGTGTTGGAAGTCTTTGTGGTGAATCGAGGGAAACCGAACGTGGTCATCCCTCCGGAGTGGGCTGGCTCATGAGGGCACAGCAGTGCCAAGAAGTGGCGGTGCCAGGTGAAACCAAAAGCAGTCAGAAGGACCAACCGACAGCTGGTTGCCAGCTGCGGTGTGACGTTTCCCAATCTCGACAGCTCAGACAGCTAACGTGTTCTTCTCTCTGACAGCCCTGCGAACCTCAACGAACAAATAAGGAAGATGACAGATCTGCAACCGTCTTTTTGAGAGTTTGCGGTTGCTGCTGCGCGTATAAATTTTGTGTTAACCTTCCGATGAAGTCGGTGCCGTGGCAGGTGTCTGGTCGTATCGGGATACGTCGTTACCGTTCCATTTCTCTTACGATGAAAATGTCCACTTTTTGTCTCGTCAAAGCAGCTACACTTGGTTTGTTGTGGTTGCGTCTTCGTTTCTTCGTGGGGCCGTGGCCGGAAGGCGTCGACGACATGCAGGACCGTCATATTCATGTTATGCTACGCAGCGGTGTGTTTAAACTGTATTTTTCGGAAACGAATGTAGTACAGGAAGCCGTCATGCCGTACGGCATCTTCCTGTCCGTGTGTTCAATGTTTTTTGTGTCTTGTGTGTTTTTTTGCTCGTCACGTTCAAATCAGCACTCTCACACACACGGCATTTATGCCGTATTTTCATTTGAGCTACAGGAAGCCATCCTTCCTCCTGCATAATCCTTGCGTTCCCAATCAGTGTGCTTCGTGTTTCCATGTTGTTTTTCGGAAAACATTGTGCCACAGGAAGCGATAATCCTGTACGGCATCCTCTCATGTTTTCATTGAGCGCGTTTAATTTTTTATTGTTGACATGTTTTTTTTCGGAAACAATTATTGTGCTACAGGAAGCCATCATCCTGTACCGCCAGCGGCAGGAGGCCGACCCGACGGACACAGGCGCTATCCTGGGGTGCATGAAGTGCATGGACGCTATGGGGGAGTGGGGGGACCTCGTGAGCCTCTGCAACAGCAGCTGGGACCACATCCACACCGTCGGCGGGGACCCGGCCGTCGCCAGGAAGGCCGCGACCATGGCGGCGAGGTAAGGAAAGTTGGGCGTAAGTGAACGGGGGTAGGTCGCCTTACTTATTGGAGGATACCCGGTCGTCTCAGTATCGTCGCCAGGAAGGCCGCGACCATGGCGGCGAGGTGAGGAAAGTTGGGCGTAAGTGAACGGGGGTAGGTCGCCTTACTTATTGGAGGATACCCGGTCGTCTCAGTATCGTCGCCAGGAAGGCCGCGACCATGGCGGCGAGGTGAGGAAAGTTGGGCGTAAGTGAACGGGGGTAGGTCGCCTTACTTATTGGAGGATACCCGGTCGTCTCAGTATCGTCGCCAGGAAGGCCGCGACCATGGCGGCGGGGTGAGGAGAACTTGTCTGAGCCAAGGGGATGGATTGTCTTGGTTAGTGGTCGACACCCCATTGCGGCCGAGAGTTGGCGAGGTCAAAGGACTGGTCTTGCAACAGTCGTCCACAGTCAAATATACATAAATCACACAATCACTGAAATACTATTCACCTCTGGAGATGGTACTGCTTTTTACCAACGGAGGGTGGTGCGTTATTTTTGGAGCCTGTACACTGAATTGGGAGAGGAACACGCTGTGCTAATAATTGAGTCTGTTTTTATTGTGTTGTCGGTTTCGACGACACCCCGTACCCTCGATCGACACCTTGACACCGTTAAAACAACACCCCGGCACCCTGCAAAGGGCGACTTGGAGCATGGGCGACTGGGCTCACTTCGAGCAGTTCGTGGGCTTCACTGAGGAGAACGTGGTCGAAGGGGCCTACCTCAGGGCCGTCCTGGCGCTGAGAAAGGAAGACTTGGAGCAGTGCACCAGGTGATTTGCTTGGGATGGCCGATATTGAACAGCTTGGGGATTAGGGGTAGGGATATGAAAATACGAAACCCCCCTCTAAATGTCACGCTCGGGTAGATTACAAGAATCCGCCTCGAAAAGGCGGTCCTTGTTGAAAGGGTCGCATCTTGTCAACGTGTCTTGTCGGTTACCGGCTTTTATGCTTCTTTTTTGGCACTGCTGTGGCGTCATGTGACGCATGGGATAGGCAATGGGTGGCCTTTTTGGGAAGCGTCGCATCCGCCCGAGTTCTGTCGGACGGTTCCTGGATTTTTTTTTTTTTATTCTGCTGTGACGTCGTTGTGACGGATCGGATGTCTAGAGAAGGGGATGGTATTCGTTCAGCGGGTCGCGTCTCCCAAAGTGTTGTCGAATTTTTCCTGGTTCGTTCGTTGTTTTCATACTGCTGTGGCGTCGTGTGACGGGTTGGATGTATAGACAGGGGGGTGGTCTTTGTCGAGATGGTCACAACTGCCCGGCATCTATCGAAGGACAGTTCCCCTCCTCGAGGACCGGTTTGTGCTCCTTTTTAGTTGTAGGAGGGATTAGATGGACTGCTGGAGGAGGGGGAGATGACGACCTCTGTTAAGGGGGTAACATCTCCCCGAATCCATCCCTTGTGTCGGAATTTCTTGCCTTTTTTGTTGTGGTCGTGCTCCCGTTTGTGACATTCCTTTCCCTTCCGTGTAGGACCCTCCGCTATGGGGAGGCAAAGAGGCAGGGCCATCCCCCCACGTAGCAGCATGTATTGATGCTAAGCTAGAGGCAAGACCAAGCTATTATTGAGGCAAAGCGGCAGAGGAATCGCTCCACGTACACAGCATAGGTCGAGACCAACCTAGAGGGAAAGAGGCAGGCCGATCCCCCTGCGTACAAGCTGTATCGAGGCTCGGGAACGTATCGGGAAGAGCTACAGGCATTCAGTTTTCGTGTCGAGACAAAAACAATATTTCAGATTGGAGTAGGCCAGCCACGTCAGGGTGACTAGCGACAGCGACAACAGTTTTATTTTTGTTGTTTCCTCCTGACTCCGAGTCAATGTGTCTGATGTCAAGGTGGCCCTGTTTGTGTGTACCTTGTCTTGACACCAAGGTTTGTGAACCATGCTCGCCAGCTGCTTGACAACACCTTCACGACTCTCGTCGGAGAGTCGTACAAGCGGGCATACAACAGCATGGTCATGGTGCAGCAGCTCGCGGAGCTGGAAGAGATTGTCGACATCAAGAGGTGAGTGCTACTGGCCAATGAACGAACTCCGTCCCTCAGGGTTGTAGTTGTGACAAACCAAATTCTGGTGCTGACGTGTTGCGGTTTTTGGCTGTGATGGGTATTGTTGCAACACTTGGAAGATGGTCACACAGCGGAGGATAAGCCCATTCATTCGCTCGTGTGGCGTGCTGCTGTTCCAGTCGTGCACACAATGCGATACCATTGTCCTCGTTTACACAGTTTATCCACCAAAAAACCCTTCTTACCTGTATCGTCGGTTTGCAATAATTATGCATACCTTTTTCGTTTGCGCCCACCCCCCGCGCCCCAAAGGTCTGTGAGCGCCCTCTCCAAGACCAGTACGTTCGGTCCGAGCGGCTCCGATGCCCCGGGGGCCCCCGCAGGGCAGACTCCAGGCACCAAGGGGGGCGGACCAAACGCGCAGAAGCTCTGGAAGCGCCTCCGGAAAACCTGGAAGCAGAGGCTCGCGGTAAGTTGAAGTTGATTTCTCTCGCGGCTAGCTCAGTCGGTCGGGCGTGTGCGTGTTTGTTTCGAGATGTGACAAAAGTCGTGTTGGTGGTACCACCGTCGAGCAGACCAACCAATTCGTATAGAGGCTGGCGGCGGGTTGATTTCTCTTGCGACTATCTCAATCGGTGAGGTGGTGTTTTTGTTTAGTGCTTTCTTCACACTAAGAGTCGTTCCGGCCTCTACTCAGTCCCATGTATTATCGGTATATGTGTGTGTTTCGAGATGCGACCATTGGGGTGTGACTAGTACCACTACTGAACCGATCGGCGTGTTGTTGTTGTTGTTGTGAATGTCTTCACATTACGAGTCTCTCCTGTCTTCTCTCAGTCCCATGTAATATTCGTACATTCGAGGAGAACTCAGTACAAGTGATTTGCCAGCTCGAGGCATCTGCAGCCGGCCGGACGACCTTCCCCTTTTTTTTTTCTCGTCACGTACGTGTCGGTTTCCACACCAAGACGCGTGACGGATATATGTATATATTAAATTTGGTCACTTTTCATGCTTCGGCATTTCTTTCTGTCGAGTCAACTAGTCCTTCTCGCAATTCCTTCCCAGAGGCACGCACGAGGCTCGTCTGCACATTAACGCTCGTGCCCGGAGCTCGTTAGGCCTCCGTGACGCGTGTGGTTGACGGCCAAAGTTGCGAAAGCTGTCTCCTTACCCTGGGGGCGCAATCCGCGCAGACAAGGCCTGGCGGATTAATTCTGAAACCCATCGAAACCGACGAGTTTGAAATGTTTGCGTCTTGCTTTCTTCACATTCGTTCATTCATTTGCTGATTCCACATCGCGGTGACTCTTCGTGTCATCGCAATAATGTCTTAACAGCACAAACGTTTGCCCTTTTGCACTTCGCGGCGGGCCAACTGAAACGCTGCTTGCTGCTGTAGTCAGGTGTTAGTTAGCACATGCACCCGCAGTGAACATGTTTGTTGTGTAGTTTTGGGTTACATTCGGTTCTCATTGGAAATCTGCCATCTTCCAATCACAAGACATCAAATGTAGCAGAACTCTGATTTTTTTTTCGCCGGCGAGCTGTCGCCCGCTCGAGCTGGCTCCATTGTAGCAACGTGCGCGATGTTTTGTACGGAATACGAGCGTTGCAAAACTGCCCTTCAAAAATGAGACAGACGGCCCCTCTTTGGGCCATGCGCTGGCGGGTGGACTTGCCTCACCCGCGGGAGGCTTGACACCCACGTCTCGAAGGGAAACCTTGTATATATATATATATATATATTTTTTTTTTTTCCGAACCGAACGAAGGCAGTAATTGGCGTGTGGTGGTACGTAGCTTTTTGGGCACTGTTGAAGTGCTTAACCTCATACGATCAGTAGCAGGTTGGAGTTCGATGCTCGCTCTGGAGTATAATACAAAACGCAACCGCAGACGGACAATAACCTCCTGTCAGCGAGTGCTTCCGTGTGGGCCAGGGTAGTGGTCAAGTACGACGCGATGGAGCGACATCGTTTTCACACCTCCTCGCTACGCGGGAGGTCCCTAAAACACCCGAGTGCCAACAGAGCTGACCGTATCCAACCTGGAGTGTTAGGACCACTGCAGGTTGGATACGGTCGGCTCTGTTGGTAGGCGGTGTCAACACGGTGTTCCCTCTCGCGTTGTACTTGGGCACCGCCGTTTTGCTCCTGCATGACTGACCAGAAATCCTATAATAGTAGGGGTCCTTATTTTGTCCCGGTTGAATGGTGCCCATGCCCGGTATATAGTGCCGGTCAAACCTCTGGGCAAGAGGGCCCACTCCTTCACTGTAGTACCCTGTTCTGAAGAACGCCGGTTTGCGGTATTGCGCCTACGGTGGTGAGCTTGTCGGCCAAGGTACGCCGCCCGCGCGTGCCCGCCCTCGCGGGGCGGCCGTCATGCGGGGAGCCGTGAGAGGCAACCTTCGCCTGCTACCGGCCTACCGTCGACATTGACATCCGGAAACAGGTGCCCCTCCTGTCAGTGCCCCGTGGGCGGCTTGGCGCTGCTCCGGCGAAAAATGGAGCTCGAAAATCCGCTGCATAGCATCGAAACCCGGCCCATTGAAAGCCTCCTTACCGCCTCTTTCCCTCCCCAGCGCCGCCGCGCTGGAGGCTCGCGTTCCTTAAGCTCTCCCTTACCGTAGAAAGAATTCTCACAGCCGTCATGTGGCTTCAGGAGCCCCGCAATGTCACAGTGACTTTCGCAGGGTATATCGTTTATGCAAACATGTTGGACAGAGCATGCGATCGGGGGAGTTATGTTCGGGGTTGGGGATTGGGTCTGCGTACCCTACCCCCTCCTCCCAGTTCTATTTTCCTCTTAGATTTTATCTCTCGCGAAGTGGTCCCATGGTGAGCGAGGCGGACGGCCGGCGCAGAGTGCGCCGGCCGTCCGCCTCTTGCCAAGGGGCGTGCGGAACTCGCACGAGGCATCCATCCATCCATCCATCCATCCATCCATCCATCAATCCTCCTCTGTGCCATGCCTGATGGTCTCTCGCCTCGGGCCGGAGAACCGCATGGAAATTTCTCAGAAAATTCCCGGGTTTGGGCGGACTGGGAGAGAGGACGTCTGTTGCCGGAGAAGCGAAAGCTACACGGTTGCCTCCGCACACGATAGGCTGCGGAGGTATTCCGTAGGTGACATGACCCAAGACACCTCGCCCCTGGCCCGATCTTCAGGGCTCGATTACTCAACGACGACGTACAGTGGTCGGTAGAATTGACCTCGAGGTAGCAGGGGGGGAGGGACAGACGTCGTGGCTGCTCAGGGAAGGGGAGGGTGTACTCAATCGTTGCCTCTTTTTGTGTCTTTCGATCGTTCACACCGAGAAACCTCGTTGAGAACGAGCATCGTCCGCTTGTACTCGCTCCTGGTGTATCATCTCCCGTGCGTGCTGGGCACAACCCACGCAGGGCGGGTGCTCAATCGTCGCGTGATTTTTGTCGTTCGACGCCCCGCGGAATCCCTTTTCGTCTGCACCACGAACAACTTTACTTAATCCTATCCAATACGAGATATGCAGGTGTTGATATTCCCCATCTCGATTTGATCCTTAATCCAGTGCTTCCAGAATGTTTTGAATCCGTGTGCGTGCCCTCTTGCTGCCACGATGCGTGTTGGGGCAGGGGTGCAAGCCAGAGGTGTCCGTCATGCAGCGCATCCTGATGCTGCGTGGGCTGGTGTTGACGCCAGAGGAGGACATAGAGGCGTGGTTGCAGTTCGCCAGCCTCTGCAGGGTCAAGAAGAACTACCGCATCGCCAAAAAGGTCTGTAGAACATGTGTGTGCATTCAATCGTAGAAAGAGTGCCCGTTCAAGTTTGTCGTTTGTTTTGTTTGTTTCGAGATACAACCGTTCTATCTATCGATGTATGTTGTGTGTTTTTGTTTTTGTTTTTGTCGTTTTTTTGCGTGCTTTTTGTTTGGAAATCCAGGCCTGCATGTCTCGGGTTTTTTGGATTCAAGAATTGCCTCTTGAGGGGCGACATCATGGAAGCATTCCCGAAAACTACAGCAATATTAGCATTATGGACAACAACAACAGCAGTGACAACAATCAACCAATACATGAGAGAAATATACAAGTGGGTGGTTGGTTGTATTATTTTGTTCGTATCTGGCTTTGTCAGGGCATAAGCAGCAACAAGAAACCTCAACAACAACGACCAATTTTGCAGGTGCTGGACGCTCCGGTGGGCCTGGCTTCGGGCAACGAGTGTTACGACAACGATGACGGACTAGGAGTAGGTGGAGACCTCACCGGAGAGCTGAGGCAGCAGCTCTATCAGCCGACGAAGCGCAGCCTCCCCATCAAGCACAAGCTCATGTACGACCCCCCGCACCCCTGAGGGTGTTCATAGGCGGAATCTCCCAGTTATCAACCACCAGCTGTGTGTGCCCCCTTCCTGATCTTGTCACTAGACGTAGTTTCGCGATCAAGCACAAGCTCATGCACGACCCCCCCCCCGCACCCCTGAGGATATTCGTAGGCGAAGTCTCCCAGACAAAACCATTGGCTGTGTATATCCGTTCCTTGAACGTGTCACTAGGCGTAGTCTCGCCATCAAGCACGAAGCTCATGTAAGAGGAAGACCGGAGTAAGCCGTTGTGGTATCTTCCTGAATTGCCAGAACAGACATAAGCCATCGTTTGCTGCCTGGGCAAGGCCCTTACGACACACTGGTGTGCCACTCACCAGTAGCTGGGGGTATCGGTGTGCCCATTGCGTGAGGCACTTGGTTAAGTTTTACCCAAGTACCCGGAAGCCTTACCTAACCCTAGTTTATTTGTTGTGAATTTTGGCTTTTGGGGAGGACACGTCGCCACGAAACGAGTCGAGGCGGACGAGTGTGCGGGGATTTATAACCGTCCTAAACAACAAATACCTCTAACTCCACGACTCTTACCCCTACCCCTTGTGAAGGTTCGCATGGGTCAAGCAGCGAAAGGCTCAGAACAAGATGGGCGAAGCCCTGAAAGACCTCTCGCGGCTGGCGGCAGAGCTCTCCGAAGAGGAGAACTCCCTCAAGGTCAAGTGCCTCCTAAAGGTGAGCACGACGCCTCCTCCAGTCGCTGTGGCGGTTACTGTAAGGGGTTAGGGTTAAAGGTCAAGTGCCTCCTCAAGGGGACGATGCCTCGTCTAGGTCAAGTGCCTCCCCGAGGTGAGCACGACGCCTCCTCCAGTCGCTGTGGCGGTTGCCGTAGGTCGCGTTAAGGTTAGGGTTGAAGGTCAAGCACCTCCTCAAGGGGAGGGCGACGCCTCCTCCTGTTGCGGTGACGGTTGCAGGGTTCAAGTGATGAGGGTTTGGGACAGCGCCGGAGCTAGGGCTAAGCTTCGAGGTTGAATTCCTCAAGTTCACATTCCACCCGTCGGGTGCATGCACTTCTGTACGTTTTTTTTCGCGTCGATCACGTGGGGCTCTGCTTTGCACTGCTTTGCAGCTTGAGGCTGCACAAACCCTGCCCAGAAAGCCTTTTGCAAGCCTTTTCTCCTCAGTGCCCTGCTTTCGTAGTGACCAACATAGAGTAAAGGTTTCGGTGCAGGAGAAATGCCCCAGGAGATTGTAGTGCGAGAGAACTTGCTGGTTTAGCAAGCGGCGGCTTGTCCCGGCCGTGAAGGTTCCACGAATTTTGAGGGAATGGCTTAGTCTAAGAGCCAACCAGGATTTAACAGAGTGTTGTGTGCTATGCTTTTGGTCTCGAGCCTCTCTTTCTACCCGTACTATAGCCGCCACTGCGTGTTGTCTTTTTGTCAACAATACCAACTGGGAGCTGCGCCTTAAATCAAAGGCGCGGTACTGCACGTTGTTTTGATGTCAACAGCAGCACCAACCAAGTGCCAACTGAGAGCTGAGCCTCAAGCCGTTGTCGGTACTGCGTGCGGTCTTGTTGCCAGATGGGCAACTGGGAGCTGAGCCTGGTGGCCCCCTCGAAGCCATTGCCGGTACCCGTGCGCGACCGCGTCTTCACGGCTTTCAAGAAGGCCACGGAGCTAGAGGAGGACAACTACAAGGCTTGGCACCACTGGGCGATGGTGAGAGCCAAGGCTCCTTCGTTGTTGTGACTCTGCCTGTGACTAGTGTGGATGATGTCGTTGTTCTTGTTCCTGTTCCTGTTGTTGTTGTCTGTCGTTGAAGCCGACCTATGTGGCCGAGTTTCATTCGTCTCCCCCCTCCACCCGCCCGCACACACACGAGCTTTTTTTTTTCTCTTCCCCCACGATTTACCCTTGCATTCGTTTTGTTCGCGCTAGGTAAACTTCCGTGTGGTGGAGCTAGCCATGCAGGAGGCTAGCATGAGCAGGGGAGGGCAGAGGTTCAGACCAGGGCCTGGCAGGTATTGGTCATCTACCTCGATACTTGTTAATGCTTGTGTGGGGGGTAAGGTATTGTTGTTGCTGTTGGAGTTTCCATTGATGCTGTGTCGTGCTGGCAGGTTGCGACTGTAGGTCGAAATTTCGGTTTTGGTGTTGACGGCGATCGTACTGAGGTGATAATTTGATGGCAGGCCGTCTTTCGGTAAGTGTCGTTGTGGGAAAAATTGAGCTTCAGTGATGGCAGAGATGGTACCGGAACAACGCCGCGTGCCGTGGTTAATTCATTAAGTTGTTGCTGGTAGTAGATCATGTCAGGGCTTGCTGTCGGCAGTACGACAGGCAGACCGAGTTACCAATCCTGACAAACGGTATGTCTGTGCCGTTGGTGATGTTTTGCTGATGGTAGTACAGCATGTCAGGGCGTGTGATCGGCAGTATTGAATATGAGTTGTGGGTGGTAGATCATGTCAGGCCTTGTTGTCGGCATTACGATAGGAAGACCGAGTTACCAATCCTGACAAACGGTATGTCTGTGCCGTTGGTGATGTTTTGCTGATGGTAGTACAGCATGTCAGGGCGTGTGATCGGCAGTATTGAATATGAGTTGTGGGTGGTAGATCATGTCAGGCCTTGTTGTCGGCATTACGATAGGAAGACCGAGTTACCAATCCTGACAACGTTATGTCTGTGCTGTTGGTGATGTTTTGCTGATGGTAGTACAGCATGTCAGGGCGTATGATCGGCAGTATTACTCATTAGCTGTTGGTGGTCGATCATGTCAGGCCTTGTTGTCGGCATTACGACAGGACGAACGAGTTACCAATCCTGAAAACGGTATGTTGTTGGTGTGTTGCTGTTGGTGGGAATTTGTGTCAGGGCTTGTGGTCGGCAGTAGCTGGCAATCCGCAGCACCGATCCTGACAACGGTGTCTTTGCCGACGTGATGTGGTGTTGATGACGTCAGGAGTTCGGGACGGCAGTACGGCAGGCAGACCGAGCAGGAGCGGAAGGTGTTCACGGAGAGGCTCGTTAGCGCGGCGAGAGGGTTCATGAGGGCCATCATGCTCGGCAAGAAGAAGTGGAGTGCCCTCGTGCAGCAGGTGGGTTGTTGCTGCTGCTGTTGTCGTCGTCGTCTGTGTCGGTTGTTGTTGTCGTTGGTATGGTTGCCGATGCCTGCGTTGTTGCGCTTGTGGCTGTGGCTGTTTGGTTGCTGTTGGTTCTGCTGTTGACGCGTAGTCGTTGGCCGTCCGGAACGAAACAGCGGTCAAGCGCACTGCTGTACTCGTTTCTGTCCCTTTTTCTCTAGGCCAGGCATTGACCATCCGCACACCCTCTCTCCTCCCACATTCCACCTTTTCCGCCCTTTTCTCTCTTACCGGGATCCTGACAATCGACCCCCCCTCGGTTCTCTTCAACGTGCTAACCCCAGGACATGCTCAACCTTCTCAGCATCTGGGTTCGGCACGGGAACACTCCGGATGTGTCAGACGCTCTCATGAACGACCCGGTCAACATCGACACCATCAACCTGGATTGCTGGCTCGGGGTGGTGCCCCAGCTGATCGCCTGCATGAACCACAAGGACAAGGTCTGCCGGGAGGCGCTGCACAAGCTGCTCATGCGCCTTGGCGAGAAACACCCCCAGGTATGACGGAAGATATCACCCACCCACCCCCCGTGGACCGATGTTCAAATCTTGATTGTAGTGTTGGCTTTTATTGGCTTGCGGACCCTTCGCGTCCATTTATTTTAGTCACCTTTGTAAGAGAAAGTCAGCCTGGGACCACGGGAATCGACCGCGTCACGTGTTGGATCAGTACGGACAGATGAAGGCACCGGATAGAGAGATACCTCGGAACGGTTGTTGGTGTGAAGACAACCAACAGAAGTCCACGACGAAGGGGATGTGTCAGTCGAACGATTCGTTGGCGTTGCCACTCTTTCTCCTGCAGAGAAATCACGCATTGGAAATCGGTGCCCGGGGGAGGGGGTGACATCTTGTGTCGCCTACGGTAGTGTCGTTGTATTGCTTGACATTTCACATCCGTTACGGTGTCTACTCAGTACCTTCTAGTATCCGTACTGGTCTAGCTGACTTGGGCGCCTTCCGTAGTCGCGAACTCTCTCTTTGTATTGTCGTGTGTTGTACCATTCTCGTCGGTTTGGCCATGGCGGTCTGTGCGCCTCGTCGAGTTGGTGAGGTTGCTGTACCCTTGTTTTTCCCTTTTTTGGGCACAGGTGATACCGCCTGCTATTTTGCCTATAAGCATCCCAATGGTATCGGGGAAGAAAGTAGTGCCTGTCGCCCTTGTTTTCCTCTAAGCGGCCTTCACAACCTGGACGTTGGCGCGGATGCCATTAGCAATCAAAACAAATACGCACTCCCTTGTGTTTGCAACAAACGCGCGCTTTTTCACACCGCCTTCGGTTTGCAGGCGTGATGAACCCCCTCTCTGTTTCCCTCAAGCGACCCGTGGAGGTTGGCGCGGTCGATGCTACTGCTGTAACACGCAAATCAAGCACGTTGTCGCAACCCTTGTTTTTGCAGTCATATGTACCCCGGTCGATGCCATCAGAATGGTAGAAGCAAGCAAACACATTGGCGTGGATCTATTGATCATCGTCGAAGCAATCGCATTGTCGGGCCCCCAATGGTTTGCAGGCATTGGTGAACCCCCTCTCTGTTGCCCTCAAGAGTCCCAAGGAGGACAGGAAGTCGGCGGCGGAGAAGCTCATGCAGCACATGGTGCTCAACAGCAACTTCCTCGTCAAGGTAAGAGCCCGGTTATGGGCCTAACGGCGAGGCAAGCAACATACAATACTGGTCGGAGTAGCGACAGCAGTAGCTTTGGCGAGGATATAAAACTTGGTTTTAGTAGGGGGCACGGGGTAGGAATAGCGCAACCAACCCCCCCCTCCCCCTCTCGAATGCTTCCATGCGTTGACTATGAGACGAGTGAGAGGGACTGATCTTGTTGGGGCGGTGCTGATCTTTGGCATCGCAAGTTTTGGTCATGTCGTCACGCCGGCTAGACCAAGGTTCCCCACGCACGTTTCACCCGGCGGGGCATTGTGACCACCGCGGTGCGGTACAACCGGCCATTTGAGTACAGTGTCCCCGAAGTGTTCCCGTTTGGGCTCCTAGTACTGAGAGGGTTTTATGACAGGTACGTGTGTGCGAAAGAAAAAATCATGAACAAAAGTGACTCTCTCCACACTCCATTTTGTAGGGTATATTTAGTCGACATTTCTTTGTTGGTTTAGGCGCTGATTGTTGGGGAAATGCTTTGGTTTCTCTGCCTGATAATATTAGTGTAATGGCCGCAGAATTAATGTCTATAGGCACCACCCCGTGTACGTTGGTATTTTAACATTTCACGCGTGTCGAAGGATCTGAACCTGTGGAATATTCTTGTATGTGTGTTGTGGTCGTGCAGGAGGCATTGCTGGTGAGCACGGAGCTCATCCGCGTGGCAATCCTCTGGCACGAGCAGTGGCATGAGGGCTTGGAGGAGGCGTCGAGACTGTAAGCCGTGCCTGAGACAACCTTGTCGTTTTGTTTTGCTGCTTGTCGTTGTGCAGTATCAGTGGAGGAGGCGTGTACGAGCTTTTGCATCCGTGGCTGCTTTTTCGTGGTCTGGATGGTGATATTTAGCAGTGTCAAGTGTGTGCTGCATCAAGGCCGTGAACCCGCTCTCAACTAACTTCCCCTTGTTGTTCCATGTAGTTGTTTGTGATCAGTCGAAGGAGGCGTCTATGCTATTTTAGCATCATCAGGTTGCGTGTGGTGTTCTGTGTCGTTTTATGGTATCAAGTGCAAAGTGACGTGGCCTGCTGGTTATCATCAACTGTTCTCACTCCACCTGTCTCCTCCTGTTGTGGGCCGCTACTTGATGTCGTACTCTGGTTGGACGTGTATCGTTCGTTGCAACCCGTACCTTAATCCCTATGCCAAAACCCTCTAGGCAAGTACTTACAGCCAAATTTGATCAATTCATAACCCGTCAGGCACGCGACATGCTTTCTACCAGTCGACTATCCCTGCGCCCATGCTCATTGTTTTTCGTTCGTGTCCTTCCTGGAAAAACGGAATGGAACAATTGGAATGGAACAGGTACCACGGCGACCGCAACATCCCTGCCATGCTCAAATTCATGGAGCCACTTCACAAGGAGCTCGAGAAGGGTGCATCCACTGCTAAGGAGGACAGCTTCCAGGTGCCAGTGCTTTCTCTTAGCTGACCGGTACCGTATTCCGAACGCGGGTGATCGGTTGGCGTTTGGTGGTCCCATAATTTCGTGGATGAGCGCTCAGGCGCTCTCCTCATCTTGTACCATCAAGACGTGGGTGGCCCTGGGGCCTGCCTGCCAGTAGCAACGGCGTCTGATGTCTTCGGCAAGAAGTGTATGTTTCTGCGTTTGAGGAGGACCGGCGGTTGCTCTGACGTGGAGTCGACCGGCTGTGGCCTATCGCGCGTAGATATGTGTGTGGACGTGCCAGTGTGTGCGCGCGCGTCTGGAAGATGTCCATCATGCATGTGTAACGATGAAAGTGTGTTTCTCAGGCCTTCTGGGGCAGGGAAGAGGGAGCAGCAGGGAAGCCGAACCCTAAGCCCTCATCCATGCGGCAGTGGAGAATGATCGACTGCCCATATGGTCGTCGTTGGTCTCTGAATTTCACGTTCCTTGATGTGGGATAAATACTCGTGGAAGCTACTGCATTCTTGTGGATGCCGTGACTGGCCTGTAGCTCACGGTTCTGTTGAATGATTTTGGACGGGGGTTTGACACAGCGGACCGTACCATACCGATCATACTGTGCTGTCGCGTACCGTACCGCACCATATCGTGCCATACCGCACGGGCACTAATCGATAAACGGGATGCTCGTTTGATTGGTTGTTTGATTGAGCAGAAGGCGTACGGCAAGGAGCTCTCTCAAGCCTGGACCTCCATAAAGAAGTATCAGGCCATCATGGAGGTGAGCACTCAAGCCGCCAACTAGCATCGTGTCACGTGGATGTGGATGTGTCAAGGTTTCGGTGAATGTTTCTTGTTTTTTTAATTTTTCGATGAAAAGGGCACAAGTGTTCGTTCAGGTGACGGCGACGTAGATTTGACGAAGATATCGCTAAGCTGAATAGCAGAGTTAACAATAGCAAAAACGTGTTCATGATTCACTACAGTGGCGAGTTTGGGAGGGTGACCGCGTGCATTTCTCGGTGCAAGCTCCAAACGCTTTCCTTGGCGGCGGCTGTGTTGCATGCTCCGGAATGGAATCAAGTGCTTCGCTGAGTGTGATGTTCGTCTGTTGGTATGATACTGTACGGCTGTACGATGCAGGAAGCACGAAAGGCGGGCTACAACCCCACGGAGAACGAGAGCCACCACCAGGTACATATCATGCTGTTGTCGTTGTTGTTGCTGCTGCTGCTGCTGCTGCTGCTGCTGCTGTTGCTTTATTTATGAAAGTTAATGGTGCTGTCGTTGTTGTTGCTGCTGCTGCTGCTGCTGCTGCTGTTGCTTTATGTATGAAACTTGTTGCTGTTGTCGTTGTTGTTGTTGCTGCTGCTGCTGCTGCTGCTGCTGCTGTTGCTTCATGTATGAAAGTTGTTGCTGCTGCTGGCGCTGTATGCTAGTTGTTGCTGCAGCTGCTGGCACTGTTTGTTGTTGTTGCTGCTGCTGGTGCTGTATGATAACTGCCGCTGCTGCTGTAGCTGTTGTTATTGCTTCTGCTGTAGTTCTGGTTCGGGTTGATTGCTGTCGTTGTTTACTGTCGCTGTTGGTGGTGTTGCTGTTGTCGGACTGTCTCTCCTCGTTCTTTCGTCTCATATACCGCCTTACGCGTGCGCGTCCAACACTGTCACCACGTCGCATCATGCGAAATCGTACCTTTCGTCAACTCAAAATTTTCTTCGCAAGTCGTTTTTGCTTATCCCGCTGCGGGCCTGTCGTACTTCGCGCTTCGTGACTCTAAAGACCGCGCTGTTACTCTCCGGGGGAGCGTTGCTTGTCTTATATTTTTCTGGCGGGTTATCTCGTTTTATTTTCTCTGATATTTGGTCTCGGGATATCGCGCTTTACCGGCCGGATATTTGGCCTCGGGTTATTTACCGTTTTTTTTGGTCGGAAATTTTCCCTAGGTTTTTTGCCGTTTTTTGTTCCAACATTTCGTCCCTTCGCCGTGTTTTTTGTTATCGGATATTCTGTCTCGGTGTCATCGCCTTCTTTTTTTTTTTCGTTTACGTACGCGTATCGCAGCCGGGACACAACCCCGAGGGCGCGAGGTTGCACGGCGGGGCGCTGAACCACCTTAATGAGGCGTGGATCCTGTACTACGATGTCTTCAGGAAGATCAACAAGCATCTGCCTCAGGTAAAGCTGAAAAGAAAGATGAAAAGTCCTCCCCGCAGCCTCGCACCCCCGACACTTGTCACTGCACTAACCTGCTGCTGGCCCCC